AACCATTTACTCGAGCCCATGAGCTTTTCATGTGGGAGGTGAAACACGGCAGACGTCGCCCAGGAGGCCAGCATGCAACATTGAGGAACAAGGTAACGAGACCTGATTTCAGAGAAGAATATTTTCTTCTACGCTGCAATAACTTGTGTCTTATGACCAAAGTGTTGTAATGTTGCTAATACAGTAGGCAACACATAGGAGAGACGTTCTGCGTCTGAAGAAAATGATCTAAGCTAGCAACAAACAGACAGAATGTTAATGCCTGCTATTGCGAACAGAATTCCACTACGACTTGAGAGGGTTCGAGCAGCTCGGATTCAAGGGAAGCAAAGAGTGTTTGATGAGACACTCTTAGTATAGCGGCATATGGAAAAGCGTAGAAAATTTGGGTCGAAACTGTTTTTTTTGCAACAGTACGCCGAGCAGGTGTGCTGCCTTAAGGTTTTATCCCAAAAGCATTTTGGAGTTTTAAGGTCACAGGCAAATGAGACGCACCACTGCCACTTTTAAGAACTTAATTTTCCATCCATAAATTGCAAACGGTTTGCTGTTGAAAATCACGCATGTTTGACGATCAACTGAATCTACCGTATATGTTATTCAAATGCTATAAGCAATCCACATTCTACACCAGAAAGTGCACATTTGTTGATGCCACTGTCAGTCACAGCCATCGATCATGTCAATGATTTACGAGCTAGTGAGAGGGAGACATGTCGTGGTGATACTACGCAGTTCCCTGGCGATGATGCAGGGGAGTCTCGACATAACTGGTTCAGGTCGTCTGAACAGTACTGGATCTGTAAGTGACTGTGACTGAAAATGACTGATTGGTTGCAGACAATTGCAGGAACTCTTTACGACTGTGGCGTTTTGTTAACAACTGGAATCATAACCACTTTGGAGGCAAATACTGAATGCAAGGTCCGGTGGCAGACGGGAACACGTTCAACAAGAAGATGATCAGATCTGAAGAAAACTTATTAACGTCGAATGGGTTGAAGAATAAGCACGCGTTTATTCGGTTCAGGTGGAACGCCATACGCCACTCGCTGCAATGGGATGGAAAGAGAACGGAAAAGATGAAGAGAAGGAGAACTGTTCGGATTCACCTGGATTCGTCCGAGATCGGATTACGTCAATGAGCCATGCACTGCACATGCCAAAATGCCATGGAGTCGCAGCTCGCTTCTACGGCCTCTAGGCTAGTAGGATCGGTGAAACGAGGCTGCAAACCGGCGTAAATCCGAGTGACAGGAGGTTGCTATGTAGAAAAGTATTACCCAGCTGAAAAACTGGGTTGACTAAGTTTAACTGGAATCCGGGAAATTGACACTTCATTGTCAAGTGTGATCGGTTGTCGTGTCTGTGTTGTTCTTGTCGTGAGCGCATGAATAAAACGTTCAACATTTAATCAAGAGACCACCCGAACAGCAGCTACATCGGTACAGCTGGAGCCTCTAGAACGTTACCGTACGTCAGCAGCAGATCAAGTACCACGCCGTTGGTCCAGCCGAACCCTTCTTGAACGTCGTACTCGCCGCCTCTGCCAGCAGTGTCGCAAGTAAACACATTGTACTAAATCACTTGTGCCGTTAAATCGCACAGTAGACCGTCAACGAATAAACCGCACCTTCTCGAACATCTTGCCGCCACTGCGAATGTAGACGATGTAGTTGGTCTCGAGCCACTTCTTAGCCAGCTTGAACGCCAGCTGTTTGGCCACCGGCTCGTCTGTCGAGCGCAGTCCCTCGATGAGCACATGATTGAGGTGCGGCCAGCTGTTCGGCTGGTCCCACTGCTCGGAGGTGTTGAACAGGCTGGTCGGCAAGCCGTGAGGCATGTCGCCCGCTCCGGTG